GCTATATACCTTTTGGACAGACCTCGTATTTGATAATCGTGCAAGCATTATATTGATATTAAAGGTATAGTTTCTTTTTAAAAGGTATAAAGGTACACTCTCCCTCCTGGGAGCATGCCCACGCCTTTCCCTTTCCCCCTTCTCCTTCTTCTAAACTCCAAGGGACTCCACGAGGCTTGCAACCAGGGGAGCAACGGGCAGCAAGCAGCTCATCCCAGACTAATACCCTGAACCTGTCTCCAAGGCCTTTTCTCTGACTCCTCAGAGAGCCAAAGCGGCCCCACCTAGACTCATTTCTTCCCTATAACATTTTTAGAGAACCAAAGCAGGTCGGCCTAGGCTCTCTCCTGTTGCTTTTTCTATCCCACACCCTTCCTTGTTTCATTGTCCGCAGCTTTAATAAACATACTCTCAAAGTCAAAAAATAAAAAATTAAAAGGTATGTCAAAGTAGAATTCCTTTATGATTACTCAAATGCATTTTTACTGATTGTTGACTTACGTAGGGTGGGGCAAAAGTATGTTTACAGTTTTGAGTATGTGAAACAGTTTGTTCTTGTACTAATTTTTATTAATTGTTGTATTATTTTCCATATGAACTGTAAACCTATTTTTGCCACAGCCTGTAAGTATGTCCACATATGTATTTCACTTATCAATTTCTTTTCTTAAAAGACTGGGAGAAATTACGAGATAAATGAACAGAATTTTACAGCCAAGAAATTACTCATCAATAATACTAAAGTGAGCAGAGTCAAGTGCAAGAAAACCACCTGCATCAAGCTAGACTATCACCTTGGAGGGGAACAGAAGGGAGCCTGCTGGGGTGTTGGACATATCAGACATAAGGAGTAGTTCGAAGGGAATGACAAATGTAAAAATTATTTAGCTGTACATTCAAGACTTGTGCATACTGCTATATATGTACTGCAATATAACTTTTTTAAGATCTAAACTAGACCGAATTGATATTGATCAACTACTCTAAGCTTCAGTTTTTAAATCTGTAAAATGGATTAATAAAACTTCCTGGTGTTATTGTGGAAGATAACACAAGTAAAGTATTTAGTGCAATGCTTCATACACAGTAAGCAATCAGTAAGTGCCAGCAATTAAATCATCACTAGAGATGGTAGACTGCCACTTTTGTCAATGCGCACTACTTTTATCTGGCTTAGTAAGAAGAGTGATAAATTACGGATCTCCTTCCCAGGCTAATGGACAGATACACACAAAGTGTTCCTTTAAACAGGGATGTGTGCGTATGTATGTGTACTCATTCATCCCATGGTACGCATGCAACAAAACACTGAACCATTCCCCAAGTAAGAAAATTTCAGGTTACTTCATTATCATTAGACATAAAGCTACAATGAATATACTTGACCCTACATTGTTTCTTCTGATAATTTTTTGGTCTAAAACAGACTACCATATAAACACTTGAAGTTCTTTCAAAAAATGAAACTTAAGTATCAAATAACCAAATGTCTACCCAGACAAATACTAACAACCTTATACTAAATCAACATTAATAACAAAGTTAGGGTATGGCCACAGGTGCTGCAGACAGAATTACCTGTAATAAAACCTCATAGTCTACACAAATATATGAGTGAAAAGTTAGAAATAAGTTATTCTTTCACATTTCTGAATATTAATCACAAGTATAATAAATAGTCTAAAATCTGTAGCTCTAACAGTTCAAGGAATTAAAGCTTCTATTTATTAACAGATAAATAATCACAATAGATTTTTATAAGCTGGGACTTCTGGAAAAGATGATGGCACAGACAGACACGGCTCGCCTCTTTAAACAACCACATCAAAATTACAACTAAAATATAGAACAATCACTCAGAACCGTTAGAAATGGAGTTGAATCGAAGTCCGACGACTATGGAATTAAAGAAACTACATCCATCCAGACTGGTAGGAAGGGAGCAGACGCAGAACAGAATGGGCCCTCACCCACAACTGGTGGATAAAAATTTTGGAAGGGTATCTTGGGAGCGAGGACCCCCAGCCCAGAATTCCAGTGCCAGGAAGAAAAATCCCCATGACTTGTGGCTTCAAAAACCAGTGGGGATTGAGTCTGGGAAGAAACTGCTTGAGCTCCAAGCAGTCCCTCTTTAAGAACCCACATACGGACTCACGTACTCAGACTCACTGCCCCTGAGCTCCAGCACCAGGGCGGCAGCTTGAAAGGCACCAGTGGCAAATAGGAGAAACTGAAGTGTCTGGCATCAGGGTGAGCAAACGCCATTGTCCCTTTTCTAAACCCTTCCCTCTCTGAACCACAGAACCAGCAAGCTGGTACCATATCTGACACTCCATCAACCTGCCTTAACACTGTTAGAAAGGCCTTCGAGATCCCCAGAGACTCTGCCCGACCCAAGTTACTGGCCCACCCAAGCTGCTCTTCCATATGAAGGGCTGGTCTTGGCTGACGCTGCACAACTTCCTAAATCCTCTCAAACAAGCAACAGCCGCCTCAGTGGGCCCCAGGCCTGGCACTAGCAGCAGCCAACTTTAGATTCAGCTTGGCTTCACCTGGGAATCTCCAAGCACAGCACAAGGAGTAGCCATCTCTGATTGCTTTATAGGTCAGGCAGGGCGGTCCCAGGCACAACACAAGTGGTAGCTGACCTTGGCCTGCACCACCTGGGACACGCCAGGGCCAGTGCACCCAGTGGACAGCTACAGATCACGTCAGAGCACCACCACCATGCCTCTGCATGGCTGTTCCTCCATGGAGGGTATAGGTTGGTGGTAAGTTGTCACAGCCAATCCTTGTGGCTGACTGGGCTGGGTAAATACCTCCCACTGATCTTCTAACAGCAACCAAGACTCAACTACAAGAGGAAAGTGAATTCAGCCCACACAAAAGGTACACTTCCAAGTACCGAGCTTCGGCATTCAGGGAGGCTGTGCCATTTAACCGTACAGGACACCTATTACAATAGGCCACACTACACGACATGGAGTCAAAGCAGCTCTACCTAATACACAGAAACAAACACAGGGAGGTTGCCAAAATGAATAGACAGAGAAACATGGCCCAAATGAAAACAGATAAAACTCCAAAAAAGAGCTAAATGAAATGGAGGTAAGCAATCTATCAACTGCAGAGTTCAAAACACTGGGTATAAGGATGCTCAAGAAGCTTAGTGAGGATCTCAACAGCATAAAAAAGATCCAGTCAGAAAAGAGGGCTACACTCATTGAAATAAAGAACAACTTAGAGGGAAACAACAGTAGAGTGGATGAAGCTGAGAATCAAATCAATGATTTGGAACATGCAGAAGCAAAAAACAACCATGCAGAACAACAAGAAATAAGAATCCAAAAAAGACGAGGGTAGTGTCGCACAGAGGCCCACTCCAAAACACATCATAACTAAAATGCCAAGGGTTAAAGATAAAGAGGGAATCTTAAAAGAGCAAGAGAAAAGAAGTTAGTTACCTACAGGGGAGTTCCCATAATACTGTCAGCTAATTTCTCCAAAGAAACTTTGCAGGCAAGAAGGGACTGGCAAGACATATTCAAAGTTATGACAAGCAGAGGCCTATGGCCAAGATTGCTCTACCCAGCGAAGCTTCATTTAGAATCAAAGGGCAGATAAAGAGCTTCCCAGACAAGAAAAAAGTAAAGGAGTTCATCATCACCAAACCATTATTTTGTGAAATGTTAAAGGGACTTATTTAAGAAAAAGATCAAAACTATGAACAATAAAATGGCAAGAATACATACCTTTCAACAACTGAATCTAAAAAACAAACCAAGCAAACAGAAGAACAAAGACAGAATCATGGATACGAGAGCATTCTGATGGTGGCCAGATGGGAGGGGTACGGGACGGGGGAACGGGTGAAGAGGTGAGCGGAGTAAGAGGTACAACTAGGTAGTTTCCGAACAGCCATGAGGATGTAAAGTGCAGTATAGGACATGGAGGAGCCAAAGAACGTACACACATGACCCCTGCACATGAACAGTGGTGGGGGGATTGCCTGAGAGTGGGGTGTGGGGCGGAGCAGAGCAAAGGGGGGGCAATCAGGACAGCTGTAATAATATAATCAATAAAAGATAAATCAAAGTTTTTTAGATAACTGCAATATATACTCTTAAGTGAATAGATGTTAATGTCAATTTTTGGGGGGAAAAACATATACATACAAGGAAATATACCTAAATATTAATTGTCTTGGTGGAATGCACTGTAGTCAAATTTCAGCTTTATCCCTTGACTTATTTCCCAATTTTTCTACAATGAGTATGTGCTATTTTTATAAAATACTCAAGTTTTTTTAAAAAATAAGACTTCAACACACTTTTAGTATATGTACCCAACAAATGAATTCCTGTATAACAAAGAACTTTTGTTTACACTGGTCAGTTACACTGGCCTCTGCCCAACCTGCTAGGAGCACCTGAAAAAAAACGCCTTGTACTTCCCAATGTTAAATTCTACAGCCCCATCTTTATTTTCCATCCTGCACACTCTCACTTTTCTATCACCAAAATATAATATTCTCATAAAGTATGAACAAGGTATGGGTAGACAAAATTTGACACAATTATTTTAGCCACAGACTATCTTGGTACAGCTTACGTCTATTTTCAGCAGGAACCCGCCTCACGCCTGAGACCCAGGTTCCTTGCTAGCTGGACTTTTGATTCATTCTCAAGTTCCACATTGAAACCACTATTCCTAAAAATAACTGACATCCTTTCCTACTTGCTCCTCCTTTGGATTTTGTCTGAAAAACCCTATAATAAATCTTGTTCCACAGACCCTCTTTATGCAAATCAGTTTCCACAAACTATAACTTTGTTGGCTCACAGTAAAATTCCTACCACTTTTATGAACTGAAACTATGAAACTTAAGGAAAAAAAATCGAACTCAAAATTAACTGCCAGTGACCAAGGCTGTAATGCCAAAACTTTCATTTAGGATTCTTGTAAATTCTAGTATCAAAATATGAGATAGCCATACTAACCTTGGTTCAGGTAAGTGAGCGTTTCGTCATGCAGTTTTACTGCTGGAGATGTTGCGGCACACATCACATACTGAAAGGGCGGGTTTTTAGTTTCATCATCCAATGGAAGGCTGGAATCTTCCTGCTTGAAAATGGGCAATGCCAAGACATCACTGAAAAGCAAAAATAAGGGAAAAAAAAAAGAGAGAGAAAAGAAAAACTTTGGGTTTAAAATATTCAAAAGCATAAAAAAACATTTAGGGGTAGTTTCTTCTCAAATTTAAGCTCAGAAATGGTATGTTAAATAAGAGGACTGTTAATGCTAACCTGGCTTCCCCAAATGCCAGTATTAAACCTGTATCTCTAGCGTGGCTGTGGGGAGAAGGGGGGAAAGCTACGGTTAGATGGATAAAATAAGTATTTAATAGTTAATACTGATAGAGAACTAGACTAACAGTAAAGATGGTACTTTAAAAAAAGTTTCTCCAAAAAATCCCTTCAACAGTTTAAATTCTGTATCGTTTGTACAAAAGGAGAGCAAGTGAAGAGTGCATAGCTACCTGTTTTGAAAGGCAGCAACTATTACTGCTGCCAAAGGTAGGTCACATTAGCACCATGAAATCACAAAGGAGCATTTGATTAAAATGGTACTTTAAGAAGTTTCCTGCTAGGCCTGGCAAGTATTGAGAGCATAAGGCTTCATGCTTAATCTAAAACAATGGCTTCTTCTGAGAAGCAAACAGCAGTAAAAACAGCTACTACTTTCTTCTCCCAAGAATAACATGGGGCATTGATTGGGGGCAGGGGGCGGTCCTCTGGGGCACTGTCTATATTCTCTGTTAACCTGGAAGGATGTTTGCTTTGCTTAAAAAAAAAAAAAAAGAAAGAAAGGCTGAGATATAATTATTATTTTTTTAATCCTCGCCCATGGACATTTTTTCATTACTTGTTTTAGAGAGAAAGGAAAAGAAACATCAATATGAGAAAAAGCAATCGACTGGTTGCCTCCTACATGTGCCATGATCAGGGATCAAACCCGCAACCTAGGTATGTGCCTCAACCAAGAATTGAACCACAACCATTTGACTACAGGAGAGCACTCCAACCAACTGAGTCACACTGGCCAGGGCTGAAATATAACTTACATACCATAAAACCCAAGTTTTTAAAGTGTAAATTCAGTGGGTTTTAGCATATTCAGAGCTGTGCAGTCATCATCATCACTACTTCCAGAACACCCGCATCGTCCCGAAAAGAAATCTTATACCTGTTGGCAGTCACGCCCCATCCCTTTCCCCCTGCCAACCACTAACTAGTTGTCTCTCTGGATTTGCCTGTTTTGGACATTTAATGCAAATTGAATCATGTAGCCTTTCGGGACTGGCTTCTTTCTCTTAGTCTGTTTTCAAGGTCCTCCCGTGTTACAGCACTTATCAGTACTTCATTCCTTTGTACGGCTGAATGATATTCCATTGTATGGATATACCACATTCTGTTTATCCATTCATCAGATCATGGACATTGGGATTGTTTCCGATTATTATGCATAATGCTGCTATGAACACTTGCGTATATTTTTGTGTACATATACATTCAATTCCCTTGGGCATATATGTACATGTGTATGTATATGTGCATGTACGTGTGTGTGTGTGTGTGTGTGTATACACGTAGGAGTAGAATTACTGGGTCATACGGTACCTTTAACTTTTTGACACGTGCCAAGCTGTTTTTAACAGTAGCTACACCATCACATTCCCATTATTAATGTATGAAGTAACTGACATAATTCACTAAGCTGTACATTTACAGTTTGCTAATTTTGCTGTTTGTTCAAGAAAAAGTAAAATAAGATATCCATATGATTAACTACTGTAACACCAATATCAAAGGCTTGTCTGAATTGCTTATTTCCCCTCCTGTTTTCTGCAAGCTGATGACTAACTCCGATATTTGGCTGGCCTATTTTAATTTAATTTACAAACCAAATGTGGAAACAGATGAAATGGGAGGGAAACCCTGCGTGCCCTCCTCCTCACATTCATGTTTATTAAAGCACTAGACTGATAATTCAGAAACTAAATTATCACTCATTCTCCTTCTCTTTCATTTATACCTAGGAATGCTGAAAACACTCCTCAGCACACAGTATAACTGAGAAGCACAGTCAGCAATGGCCTCCAGCCCTCCTCTGGAGTTCAACACTGGGACTTAGGGGCTTTGATCCCACTTCGGGGGAGGAGAGAAAAAAGCCTTGTGGCAGATTTAAAAACTTTTCAGGAGACTTACAAAGACGCACAGCAGCTGTCTTTATGAAAAACCGCCACAGCAGTCCAAATGGCTCTACAGAAGATTAAAATATATATATTCCTATGTCACATATATGTAAGCAATTAAAGTCCTCTTAGTGAGAAGGAAAATAAGAATGAGAGCTATGACTCTGAAGCATTAGCTAATTACGCCGAAAGGTGACATGGAGAATAATTTTAAAATACCAATGCTAACTGCTTGGGTTGATCATTAAATACACATCATCAAAATAACCCGTAAAACTGAGTAAGAATGGCTACTTATAAATAAACTCACACATGATAAATAAAAGTATATTTGTTTCAGATCCTAGAAGGCAACCACCACTGTATTCACTTCGATTTAGCCTGGATGATCCACACAGGATATATATACTCATGGTGGATGCTAATGATTCTTTTTTTTTAAATCCTCATCAGAGGATGTGTTTATTGATTTTAGAGAGATGTTGGGGGAAGCAGGGAGGGATAGGGCAAGAGGAGGGAGAGAAGAAATGTGGGAGCATGGGAGGAGGGAGGGTTAGAGAGAGAAGGAAACACTGACAGGTTGTCTCCCGCATGCACCCCAACCAGGGATCCGACCTGCAACCTTTTGTTGTATGGGATGTTGCTCCAACCAAATGAGCCAGCCAGCCAGGGCCTAAATGGTTCCTAAACAAACTTAACAAATAAACGTGTAAAGATCATTTACTACTGAAATACCAATTAATTTCTTTGATTGGGGGGGGGGTATTTATTTATTTATTTATTTTTAGAAAAGGGCAGGGAGAGAGAAACAAAGGCAGGCGCATGAATGTGTGGCTGCCTCTCCAGTGCCCCCTACTGGGGTCCTGGCTCGCAACCCAGGTGTGTGCCCTGACTGGGAACTGAACCAGGGACCCCTTGGTTTGCAGGTCGGTCCTCAATCCACTGAGCCACACCAGCCAGGACACCAATTAATTTTTTACTTAATTAGAAAGATAACACATTCTAATCAACACAGCAGCCAGAGTGATTCTCTTCAAACTGAAGTGAGATCATTTCATAACTTTGAACTCTCCATTGGCTCACTTTCAACCAGGGTCTTCCCAAGGCCCTACTCAACCTGCTTTTCTACTCCCTCTGCCCCAGCCAAATCAGCCTCCTTCCAGGCCTTTCGCAGGGCCTCCTGCACCGGCTCCACTCTCCTGGTCATGTCCTACTGGCTCACTGAATTCAAATGTGACCTCGGTGACAACTTGATAACTGCAATCCTCCTAGCCACACATCCAATCTCCTTCTTCCTGCTGTATTTATCAGTAAAGCAGTCACTTTCAACCAGTATACATGACTTAAATGTCTGTACTCCCCACAGGTATATAACGTATTTTGCCATGTATAAAGCGCCCCTGTGAATAATGCACACCCATGTTTTTGGCCCAAACTTTCAGGAAAAAGTTTTTAAAATTTTTTAAATTTATTTATTTATATTTAGACACTTGTTTTTTGTATTATAAAGGAAACCCAGCATTTATTTTTTAACATACTATGGTACAAGAAATTTTATGTGACAAATAATTACAAAACACAAGAACAGATGAGGTATTTCAGGTACTACCCATGTATAATGTGCATCTTTATTTTCCCCTTAAAAATCTGGGCAAACACAGTTCACATTATACATGGCAAAACGTGGTAGTTACACACACCCAAATTTGTTCCTCTTCACTGACTGATCGCAGCATCTAGCACATGGAAGGAGCTCAAATATCTGCTGAATCAATGAACCAACTGCAGCATCAATTATCAGTTATTACTAAAATAGAAAACGAGGTCTCCAGATCATTTAAGTTCACAATTTCTACTAAGCTAAACCATAGAGCTCCCAGCAATCTGACAAGCAAATGAAAAGCCTCAAGGCTTCAAACTGTTCCAAGTAACTTTAAATGCCAGTACCCCAAAATATCCGGGCACACAAAGTCAAACAAGGCTCGAGGAACAAGAACCAACTGCAATAACAACAGATACCATATCTCTTCCAGATTCTGTCTGCTGGTATTCAGCTCTTTTCTTCCTCTGTTACATAGAGTGAGAGGCCTGAAAGCTACAGGCCTTCTTGCCCGCTGGAGTCTGGGTAGGTTGCTCCAAAGGGAAACACCGGTGGAAATTAAAAGGGAGCAGGGAAGGGCCGAGGCAGGCAACCACACAGACTGCAGTGCAGGGATTTCAGGGCAGCAACAGCCATGCCTGCAGCCGTAGACAGTAGCTGGGAGCCCAGGAGCAATCAGGTTAACAGGCCCTCCTCCCAAACTCTTTTGGCACCTTTGCGATCAAACACTTTCCTAAATCCAATTCTGCTTGAAACATCTAAAAGGCTTCTACTTTTCTGATTGGACTGATATTCCCCAAAGACTTAACATGCTAGAATTATTGGACCCACACTATAAAACTATGCTTGCTCTACTCAAAGATATATAAAAGAGAAGCCTGAAAAAAAAATCTTCAAGGGACAGTAAATTTTAAGGGGCAGCAAGACTGAAAAAAATTGCAGAAACTTCTAAAATTGGAAAATGAAATTGCTAAAATTAAAAACTCAGGTTTAAGAGCAGCTCAGAGAGAAATGAAGAGTAAATAAGAAAACGGTGGAAGTGCCCACACATGAGCTTCCCTGGGCGCTCTGGTTCCTCTGTCAACAGCCATGGGTAACTGGATAAAGAAAAATAAAAGAAAAAAGAGAGTAAATAAAAAAAAACTGGAATATAGGTAAAAGGAAGTTATCCAGAAGACAGCAGAGAGAGAAAAATGATGGAAAACACAAAAGAGACTTTAAGAGAGAAAGGGCCAAGGCAGATTTCACAATGACAGCTCAGTGAAGCCCTAGGTAGCATGCTAAGGCAAGAAAATGA